TTTTCCTGCAGGTCCCATATATGGATCGTACCTGTTTTTACCTGATCTTTTTTCGATTTCTGACCTTCGGGTACCGCCCCTTTCTTCATGATGAAGGNAGATAATTCTAGGTAAAGGAATGAAGCCTCAGCTTTAATGATATAATCATGAGTAATAAATGACATTAAATAAGCCGTTATATAATCATTCCTATTAAATACCAATTTTGTAACGTATCAAGTATTTAATAATGAATTTGGACTCCTTTCTGTCATCAGATCTTTGTCTTCAATGCCTTCTAATCCGTTGGCTGTAAATAATTTAAATTGGTACGAGACTCGTATCTATACGTCGTCTCGTGCCTATTTAAATTCTTCTTCCCGTGGCTGTCTCCATCCGTGCCTCTTAGTCAATTGCTGCGCTTTGACCATTTAACTAATCCATGTGTCATGCCACATCATCTTTAATATAAACTCAATTTTTCCCCAATACAGTGCCAAAAGTTGATTTTTTGTATTATTATAGTAGTAATAGGAAACAGTCCAAAAATGGTGTGGAAACAATATGGATGAGTCGTATATGCAGTAAATTTTGGTTGAGACGCAGTTGTTGTTATTGAATTGCCACGTGCACCCACTGCCTTATGCCACTGCAATAGTATGTTCATTAGTAATCTCGATTAAATTGGTACTGAATTCGAGTACGTTGTTAGAGCCAGGCTAACGTAGCAATTGAATCGTAGACATTGTAATTTTTTCCTTCTTTAATTTATTTTATTGGCTCATTTCAATAATTTATCTGACAATAACAGTCGCATAGTCAAAGCCTCAAAGGAAGAAATAAAGAAACAAAAGTCATAGAGGATGAGCAGTAATGCATGGCTTTGAGTCCTTGACTGACGAAAGAAACAATGGAGGATTTGATTGCGATTTTTTTTAATGAAAAACATACTGTCGAATTACCAACCTTTTGATTTTTCAAAAGAAATTCTGAATATTCCTAAGAAAAGGCAAAAAGGGAAAGGAAGTACATAACAATGGGAATAATTAGGTGGATTTTAGAAGCTTGGCAAACAAGCTATAAGAGGGTATTTGGATAAAGCTTAAAAGCTGGTCTTTTGGCTTATTTTGATCTTCGGTAAATATGAAATATCAAGAGTAAGTTACGTGCTATAAACCTAAAGAAACTCAGGCAAAATGATTATAAGAAAATAGTTAACCACCTATATTATCCACTAAAAAATGGATTGGATAATGAACTTTTTAAAAATGGATCAAATATGAATAAGAACTATATTATCCATTTAGAAAATGGATAACTAATTGGTCTAACTTTTACATTTGTAAAACCTCAACTTGAAGGTTCCTCAAGTTAGAGAGACTAAGAATTCTCCCAAAAATGATCATATGCAAAAAAATCATGGATAATATGGGATGGTTACCCATATTATCCGCCGGTTAACCCGTTTTTTTATCCGTATTAAATATGGGTTGGGTTGAATAATTTATCCATTTTTTATTATTCGTTTTCGACCCGAACCATATCCGACCCGAACCGCCTGTTTGCGACTCCAACCCTACATATAATTTTTTGGTTTAAAAGCTCTTTAGGTTTGAAATATTTTACTTCTTATCGCTTATGTACTTTTTAAAAATAAAATTTAATTTTTCCAAATTACTCTTCACCCCTCTTTTTTCCTTCTTCTTTCCTCCTTTGATTTCTCTATCTCTCTTCCCATCTCGCTATGTGCTTATCTCCGGATCCTGCTCGCTTCTGACTCTAAACTTTATAGAGGCTGATTAAAGCACTAATGTAAGTATGTGGATTTTAATGTAACTTTTTTTTTGGAACCCCAGGAAAACTCTCAGCCTTTATAGTCTCTGCCCTTCGGGTGTGCACTCTATGGTGAGCAATCTGTGTCCACTGGATCTTTCACTGTATAATAGCCTGCAAACCACACAGGAGATATTAACCGTACTAGGCAAGTTCCGTGCGACAGGCTCAAACCCAGAGGGGCATTGAGGTGGTTCGGACCCGCATCACCCATGTGGACAGCGCCCTCCAAATCCAACTGAGCCGTCCCTTCGGGACTTTTAATGTAACTTTATTGGGTCATAATTTGTATAAAATTTGTTTGGATCAAGATAGACAGAACAATTTGAGTTACGATAAGTCATAACCCACCCCGTCTAACTCAAAATTTTGTCTAACGACTCATTTGTTTGTTTTATAATTTGGTTAATTACAAATCTAACTATCAAACAAATTTCTTTTATTTATCGTGACTATATTAACTAATTAACCAAACCCAAAAAATTATTATTTTCAATATTTTATAAGTTTTCACTACTAAAAATCAGGTAATTTCCGACCAAATTCCGACTATTTTTAATTGGACGGATAAACAATGGTCGCAAACGCAGACCGATCGCAATTGGTCGCAAATTTTCGACCGATTTCGGTCGGAAAATATTGGCCGAAAACTTCCGACCGCAATCGGTCGATAAAATCCAATGCGCTGACTGACAATCAAACTTTATTTTCCGACCGAAGTCGGTCGGAAATTATTAAATATTTTTTTTAGTTTTCAAATTTTCGACCGAAATCGGTCGGAAAATATTATTATTTATTTATTTTTAATTTTAGTTATCCGACCAAATTCGGTCAAAACTTTTAAAAAATAATAATATTATTTAATTAAATAATTATTTATAAATTGTTAATTTATTTAAAAAATAAATATAAATTTATAATTTCCGACTGAATTCAGTCGAAAAACTGGGTAAAAACTGAGCAAAAAATGGTTGTTTTTAAGCTACACTACCTGCCAATTTAAACCAACACATCCTATAATGGCAACATACATTGTTGCAATTCAACCATGAAAACTCAATAAAATAACTAATAACAACCACCAACAACAATTAACTAACAACTAATAACCACAACCACAACTACTAAAGTGTTCAATAACAATATAATCATCATTCAAATAACCAACAACAAAATATTGACAAGTTCACAACTTTGTTTAACGATACACAACATTCAATGAATTTTTTATGTAGCATCATCTTCATCTTCGGTCCTAGGACCTTCATCGCCGGCAGATGGTGAAGGAGGAGGAGACCAGGGAATGGGGAAAGCACCACAAACAAGAAGATTGACCAGCTGACCTTGAAGGAGATCAAATTGTTTGTCCCTCCTTTCTAGCTGACCTTGAAGGGTATCAAAATTCTTCTTTTCTCTAGCCTTGGTCTCTTCAAGCTCTGCTGTCAGCTTTGCGATCTTCTCTTCCATAGACGATATAGCTGAACTATCAATCGCCTCGCCTTGGGCGGAAGTCCCTATACCTTGCAATCCAGCCCTGTAGCACCAAAACGATTTATCTGATAGGCCGTATGCTATCTCCTTTTTAGGACCACCGACAGTACTCAACCATATCCTCTTCTCTTCTTCGTCTGAAATGGGCGGTCGCTCGCCTTGCTCATTTAGTGGCAAGCTCTGAGTCTACTCCTCCAAATTGATCTTGTAGCGACCCTTTATTTAGAAGATAGAAAATTACTAACTATATAATATTAGAAACATTTATAGTAGTTATGAAACTTACATGTGTAGTCTCTGCCAGGTCCTCGACCCATCTAGTTAGATATGTCGGTGCCTTCTTCTTCCGGATGTGAGCCTCCATGAAGAACTCATCATGACTCAACTTCCTCCCCAATTTTTTTTCCTACAAATATAATAAACGTGTTAATGAAAACTATAGCTATACTCGTATTTTGTTGTAAAAGCAGAGTGCAATTTAAGAGATAGAAATTTTAAGTAACTAGATCCTTGAGAGAAACATAGAATAAAAAATACAACATGAAGCTGGGATTATATGGAGTCCTAGCTTCACTGAAAAAAACTTTGGTTTTTGATAGCCTAGAGCTGGTTAGTCTATATAATGTTTGGCCATACAACTCCAAGATTGTGTTCTAGATCCAATATTCTCTAATTAGTTTGTGTTGTATGTTAACCATTACTATGTTCTTTCCCCTTCTAAAATTGTGGTCTTCATAATTTTCTTCAAGATTTTAGATTTTTGTGCCGCTGAATACAAATTCCTATCAACATGAATTTGCTCATTTAAAATAAACAACATATTAAAATATGACTCTTCAACAAATTTGGAACCAGTGCTTCTCAAATTGAAAGAGAGATTTTTCATGAACATTAGCGCTTATAAACATGAAAAATACATTAAATAGAAATCTAATAATAGATAAAGCAACATCTTAAACCTAATTAAAATAAATTTCATGCTTTTTAGTGTACTGTCAAGAAACCAACACTTCGTAAATTAAGGTCTTTTCAAGGCTTGGGAACGAGAAAAGGAAAGAAGCTAAACTTTTGTAATAACCTATGTTGTAATCTGAAAAAAGCATCTAAGCTTCAATAATTATGGATGAAGATGGTTTGCTTACATTATTTAATTCTGAATTACAATACTAACTATGAAATCCGACTCCTTAAATATCAAAAACACCTCTAGATGTAGGAAACAAATATAACATCTCCAAGAGCAATCTGTAAGTAGACAATGACGAAAAAGTTCACCTACCAATTTGTGTTAAGCAACAATTCAAATGAGGAGTGTGTTACATAGTGCCAACCCAAACAACAAATATTATAATAACCTAAGTTTCTTTGCTGGTAGAAGTTTAACATAGACATGCTATTCCATGCATAATGCTCAACCATTTTGTTCTGTTTTGGAGCAGCATCGCATAAGGAAACAATTGGAAGACGTGCAATTTCCAAAGTAGGAACATATATGATGTTCTTTGTATATTTTTTCACTTATACGAATGCAATGTTAAGAAAAAAATCAATAGGTTTCAAGCCACAACAAAGAAGAGGAATAAGACGGTAAAAGACCTAATACATACATAGTTGAAGTGAGCTACCAATTGTTAGTTTATAAAACTTGTCCGTCTTCAAAAATTTAAAAGATAAAACTTGTATGATATTGTACTATATTTGTATGACAATATATATATTTCTCTAAGCAAGGAAGTTGAACAAAAACAACCTCATTTAGTATAAATATGGTAGTCACATAATTCTGTAGTTAACAAAAACAACCTCATTTAGTATAAATATTGTATGTTATGTGTGTATTTTTGAAATGCTAACTTGTCGTGATATTCCAAAATTTTGGGAGATATATAAATATACTTCGATAAAAATAGACCGAAATATTTTAAGGAATTACCAGATATCTCCTTGTATCCCCCATGCTCCTTGAACCCAGACAGTGCAAGGAGCCACCCTTCTCAGATGCTCGGGCCTTCTTTCCCTGTTCACTCTGCTTCTTGAATTTGTCGGTGGTCCAATACTTCTCCAGATCCACCCATATATGCGGTAGAACCCATGAAAGCTTCTTTTTAACCCTTCGAGCGGTGCTGAAGGAATCAGAGAGTCTCCTACGACATTTGTACTCCCAATTTTTACAAATTTTACGGTTACACTGGTCCTCCCAGGAACACTTAGTCTGCAAATAAGTAAGTAACGTTAGATGAAAATATTGTTAATATAATATTTAAATAGATAAGAATTGTATTAAAACCTTAAATTGGTTGAACATCTGTTGCACGAGACTATCTGGAAAGTCACTCCAAGTCGGATAGGGCATTAAATACAACGAGGCAAGTATATCAGTGATTATCTTTGTAACATGATTATTAGGAATAAACCTGCAACATTGCAATTATATTAAATAAATAAGAGTAGCATTCTAATTCAGCAAAAATAAAGAAGTAATAAATAAATCTTACCCATTGCCTTCAGGCCTGATGATCATCCTATGGTAATGATCATAACGCACATCATCCGAATCATCATCCTCCGATGAATCTGAAGCATGCCCAGAAGAGGGGCATCTGGCTCAGTGCTAATATCTCGAAGACGAAGTCTAGAAATGCTAGGAGATGAACTCTGTGGAGAGGGAGACGAGGTCCCTGAAGATGTCCGCGATCCACATCCCTGCACAGATCTAGACCCCTGCTCTGATCCAGACCACTGTTGCGATCCGGCTGTTTGAAATCTAAATGGATGCGATCCGGCTGGAGATGAAGCAAATGGAGCAGACGACGGGCGTATCACATGGCCCTGTGACTGGTGACTCGATGCACCCATGTAACTATTGGTAGGATCATTAGGAGGAAGTGGAGTATAGCCCTGTGGCGGAGAATTGTGATAATACTGCTGGACGGGCGAATGGTGGGTAGTATAATGAGTAGATGGATGTGGTGGAATAGATCTGTGCCTAGAAGATTGATGCCGACCATCGGCACCAGAGGGATGAAAGTGTGGAGTGGAAGGAAGCGAGGGTGTAGCACCATTATCATGATCAGTAGACCTTTTATCCTTCTTAGACCTACCTCGACCCCTGCCGGCCATTTGCATAAATTAAAGAAAATGTTAGAATTGAGAATATAAATCTATATAAGTTAAGAACGCTTGAAAATACTGACATGCTAGTCGTCTTCGTCGACGTATCCTTCCTCGTCTGAAAATCCTTCCTCTTCACTTATTTCATTTTCATTAGGTGATTCTTCATCCTCATTTTCTATGATTGTTATTTCCTCCATATCAACTTCTTCTAATATGCGTTGAGGATGCTCTAAGTTCTATCCGATCATCTACCATTTAGTTAACACTTGAGGTATCGTTTTGGTAAGCAACATCTAGTACATTCTCAACTTCCACCCTGCCAACAGGCTTTGTTTTGATTACAACCAACCAATCAGCCTTATCCCTCCGCAATAGATATGGAGCATAGTATACTTGCCTAACTCTTTCTGCAATTATAAAAGGATCATAGCGATCATACTCCCTATTTTTATTAACCTCAATTATGTTGTACTGCGAGTGTACATTTGTACCTCTTCTAGGTGTTGGGTCAAACCACTTGCATCGGAAAAGTATGATCTTCTTATATGGCCAACCTGAATATGACAATTCTAGAATCTCTTTGATCACACCATAATAATCATTTTCCCCATCCTGGTTGCCTTCACCGCCTTTGACACACACCCCACTGTTATTGCTTTTTTTTTTATACTTGGAGCATTCCTCGGTGTAAAATTTGTAACCATTCATACAATACTTAAACATTGTCGTAATCGTAGGTGCAGGTCCCCAAGATATGTCTTGCAAAAAATTATTAACACCGTTGTTTGGATTATTGACCTACATGTAGCATTAAATAAATCACAAGTGAGTAAGTATATTCACAAGTATGTATAATCACATGTGAGAAAGTATGTAAGATGCACTTACACACTCTTTAAACCATGCCTCAAATGTAGAATATACAGCACCATGACCAAATTGACTCACGAAATCACTGAGCGACACGTTAAAAATTATTTGTTAGTTGCATCAACCAAATTAAATAGTAGTCCGTGTAAATTAATCTTACGTCAACACTTACTTAAGAAAGGGTTGAACTTCTGGAAAATTTAGCAACACATGATTTGAAGCTGATTTGTCTCCATACTAGTTAGGCCCCTTTGTGCTCGATCTTTAAAACCTCGTCCTGGTTGATTGAATATGGACATTGGTGGATATAATGGATCAATCTCAATTACCACATTGTGTTGATTGGGCCTATTTCTAGCATATGACACATGACTGTCAAAGTAGTAAGAACAAAAATGGGCAGTTTGCTTTGCAAGATAGGCTTCGCATATGGATCCTTCAATCCTATTCCTCTGTTTAACAAATCGTTTACACTTGCCGATAGTCCTGCACATTGTCATATTAGACGATAACATTAAAGAAAATTACAAGAATAAATCAAGGTTTGATCATTACCTCTTGAATGGATACATCCACCTACATTGAACTGGGCCTCCAAGTCACACCTTGTGTACAAGGTGAATTGGCAGGTGTTCCATCACATCGAAGAAACCACATGGAAAAATCCTCTCCAGCTTATTACTGATAACAGGAATGTCCTGGTTCATTTGAAATAGGTTTTCTTCCCTTAATGTGGTAGAACATAAGTCTTTGAAGAACAAACTTATCTCTGTGATGAATTTCCATATATTTTCAGGCAATCCACAAAATGCAATAGGGACTAAGGTTTCCATGAATATATGACAGTCATGACTTTTCATATGAGTCAGCTTTGCCTCAACCATATTGACACGTTTTCCCATGTTCGATGCATAGCCCTCGGGCATCTTTAGGTTTGTAACACACTCACAAATCTGTCGTCTTTGTTCCAAAGTGAATGTGTAGCTGGCCTTGGGCTTGAACACCTTACCATTATTCCCATACTGCAAATGTAACTCAAGTCGCCTGCAATATTCTTGTAAGTCCAGTCTAGCCTTCGGGTTATCTTTTGTCTTATTCTTATCATCCATCACTGTGTTGAACAAATTGTCAAAATAGTTCTTCTCAATATGCATGACATTGAGATTATGTCGGAGAAGATTATCCTTCCAATATGTCAACTCCCAAAATATGCTCTGCTTTGTCCAGTTATGAGTAACACCATATCCAGGAAATCTAGAAGGTGGGGCCTCGGTAACTTTAGTGAAGTTCTGAACCCTCTCCCAAATTTCCTCACCGGAATAAATTAGAGGTGGCAAATCATGTTCAACTGTATTCTTTTTGAATGCGTTCTTCATCCTTCTGAACTCATGATCAACCGGCAAGAACTGACGATGACAATCAAACCATGGCTGCTTTCGGCCGTGTTTTAAAGTGAACGCTTTACCATTTTCTATACAGTAAGAACATGCTAACTTTCCGGCAGTCATCCACCCAGACAACATTCCATGCACAGGAAAATCATTAATGGTCCACATTAAGTTAGCACGCAAGTTGAAATTTTGCTTAGTTGATATATCATATGTCTCAACTCCATCATACCACAATTGTTTAAGCTCATCAATTAAAGGTTTCAAATATACATCAATCAAACCCTTTGGATTGTGGGGACCGGGAATAACATAATTTAGAAATATATATGGACTAGTCATACACATTTCAGGCGGAATATTATACGGAGTAATAAAGACCAGCCAGCATGAATATGGTGTTGCAGAAATAGAAAATGGCGTGAAACCATCAGCACACAAACCCAATCGAACATTCCTCGGTTCACTAGCATAATCCGGATACGTCCTATCAAAATGCTTCCAAGCTTCCCCATCTGAAGGATGGCACATAACATTGGGCAACCTTCTATTTTCATAGTGCCATCTCATATAAGGAGCAGAACTCATCGATGCATACAACCTCTTTAATCTAGGAATAAGAGGTAAGTAATGCATCGACTTCACAGCAGCATTCTTCCCGCTGAAAAGCCATTTAAAACGAGTTTTTTCACAAAATTTACAACTTTCTAAATCTGCATCACCTTTATAATACAACATGCAACCATCTTCACAACAATCAATTCTCATAGACGAGAGTCCTAACTTAGAAACCAATCTTTTAGCCTTATAGAAATCTTCAGGTATGTTGAAATCTGGGTCAACTAGTTCACTCATAAGGCCAATGAAAGAATCCATTCCTGCTTGAGAAATATTGGTATCTGATTTGATACTTAATAATCTAACCGCAATAGACAATTGAGAGTGCATACTCCCTTGTTTTAGTGGACGACTAGCAGCCTCTAACTGTTCATAAAAATATTTTGCTTCTTCATTAGGAGGTTGTTCAACACTTTCGTTGGTTTCAAAATCGAAGTGCATCCCTAGAGCATCCGCAACCATTTCATGGTATCTCGGATGTTGAACATTATTCCCCACCAACCTACTACTTTGACCAACTACATTATGAAATACACCATCAGTACCATCAATCTCTCTATGACTAGTCCACACAAAATAATTATCCTTAAACCCTTTTTGATAAAGATGAGTCTTAACATCCTCTGGTCCAAAATAATGCAAACACTTGCACCTCACACAAGGACACCTATTCAACCCTCCAATCCGAAACGGTTCAAGTGACATTGCATGCGTAATAAATTCCTCAACCCCTTCTATAAATTCCTCCCTCAAAAAACGACGATTACGATAATTCCTATTATACATCCAACTACGATAATCCATCTACATAAAGAACGAATAAATTACATGTTATATTGATCATAATTCAAATTAATGGTGCAGACAAATAATTAAAGAGAAGACAAACACTTTATTTGGTTGGAATATTACATGTCTTTCAACAAAACAATGATAGTTGACACTTGAAAGCAACACAACTTGTATGAGAACGACATAATTAAGCAAATACAAGCAGAATAGAGAAAGAAAAAAGTAAATATGAATTTGTTATTAACACTAGGGTAGTAACATATGAATTTGTTTATTTGACAAAACACAGTAATACTAAACTACATATCCATTCAATGAAAATTCTATCCAAATTACACTAACAGACCTTATTTTATAACTTGAAAAAAGAAAACAATTTTCAGCAAAACTCTTGCAGTTTAAAGAGGAGTAAAGCACAAACATGTACATCAATTTACAATCAATTAATATTAAAAAAAAGAACCTAAGTAATTAACTCCCAGCATAGCTAAATAACCATCAAAAGAAACACAATCGTTGCCAAAAAATAGCGCATTTGTTTGCAATGCTCTAATTCTATCAATCAATTAAGACCTTATTTGAAATTAATCTTCATGGACTATCTAGGTCCTCATCATAACACTCAATTGTAAGTGGTCAAGCATATTTTCCAAGTTGGGTAAATCAGTTAGCTAATACTCTAGTGCAAGTTCTTAAGCATATTTCCTATGTGGGAAACAGTGAGACGAAACATACATAAACAACAGATCAAAATTTTATTTCAAAAAATAATGAGCAAATGAGCATGTACAAATGACAATGTACTAGGCACCATTACAAAATATAGAAAGAAAGGATCGAACTTTGTAGAGACCTCAATCCTAGCTAGTTCGTAAAAGAGAATTCAGAATAACAAGAGGCTCCGTAAAAGATCTAACTAGGGTTCCGTTTTTCTCTAGACTGAAACGGCCTAAAACAGATCCGAAAAATGCATCTCTAAAATAGTTAGAGAGGTGGAAGAAAAAAAAAACTTACCGGAGATGGAGAGGAGCCTGAGTACCTACGCTGGCCGCTTGGATTTTCGACGACGATGACGATGGCCGCTTGGATGAGTGCCGACGATGATGGTGAAGCCTGTGATTAGCGGCAGAAGCAGAGAGGCGGAGAACGAAAGAGAAAGGAAAATTGTTAAGTTAGGGCTTTTTGCCTGACATTCCATTACTAAAACAAACTTATTTTTTAAAATAATTGTAAAACTTAATGATTAAATTCTAAAACAATTCTCTCACTTATAAATATTATATTGTATAACAAAAATCATAATGCACAATTAATAAAATTCTAACTAACAGATTAGCATGAATCAATATCAAATTTATAATTATTTAGAATCTAACACATAATTATATAAATCAAAATTAATGACCCATAATTTTCAATTTATAAGCTAATTAATTATTAATGATACACTAATATTACTTAACGATACCACTAATAAACCTCCACTTACTTTAATTATCAAACTAAAGATAAACAATCAAAAACATTTCTCACAAATATCATTAATACACTTCCATTTAGTGTATAATTATCAATGTATTGGCTAATCAATCACTAACGTTACTTATATAAGGATACCACTAGTTCATTGATAGTTAACGTTACTTAAGGATACCATTAATGCAGTTCTACTTACAGTAATTATCAATTTAAGATGTGTGTGTATATATATACACTAAGTGTATATTATATAAGCGATATTCGATATAACATTAGCTATAGTAAGATGTATATATATATACTAAGTGTATATTATATAAGCGATATTTGATATAACATTAGTTATATTAAGATGTGTATGTATATATATATATATATATATATACACTATACTATACATTTAGGTAGTGTAATTATGAATTTAGAATAAATCATCGGCAAATCCACTTATGCTTATTGTAATTATCAATTTATATAAGCTAATTATCACTAATACACTTCTACGTAATAAAATTATCAATTTACGGTCGAATCAAACCTAACATTACTTAAGGATACTACTAAAGGACTTATACTTAGTGTAATGTCAATCTATAAGCTAATTACAACTAATGCACTTACTAATTACTATAAGCGACAGAAAAAAGTCCGTCGGTACTGCTGCGTCGGTAAACAACTGTTTTTAGTAGAGTGTATAGTATATATAGTATAGTATAGCATATATATATATATATATATAGTATATCGAATATAGCTTATAATTATCAATGTATAGGCTAATGAATCACTAGCGTTACTTCAGAATAACACTAATATTACTTAACAATACTACTAATAAACCTCCACTTAATTTAATTATCAAACTAAAGATAAATAATCACAAACATTTCTCACAAATATCATTAATACACTTCTATTTAGTGTATAATTATCAATGTATCGGCTAATCAATCACTAACGTTACTTATATAAGGATACCTTCATTGATTGTTAACGTTACTTAAGGATACCATTAATGCAGTTCTAGTTACAGTAANTATATATATATATATATATACACTATACTATACATTTAGGTAGTGTAATTATGAATTTAGAATAAATCATCGGCAAATCCACTTATGCTTATTGTAATTATCAATTTATATAAGCTAATTATCACTAATACACTTCTACGTAATAAAATTATCAATTTACGGTCGAATCAAACCTAACATTACTTAAGGATACTACTAAAGGACTTATACTTAGTGTAATGTCAATCTATAAGCTAATTACAACTAATGCACTTACTAATTACTATAAGCGACAGAAAAAAGTCCGTCGGTACTGCTGCGTCGGTAAACAACTGTTTTTAGTAGAGTGTATAGTATATATAGTATAGTATAGCATATATATATATATATATATAGTATATCGAATATAGCTTATATATAAGTTATAGTAAATATTATTTATTTACACACACAATATAATTAAATTTATATATAAGCATTTTCCCAACCGAATTCGGTTGGAAATATTCAATTATAATTTTTTCGGTTGGCTAATTAAATATATAAAAAAAATTCAAAGTTTTCGACCGAATTCGGTCGGAAACTTGGAAATATTTTAATAAATAATTATTTATGTACAATGCTGACCAAATATTTGACCACTTTTTGACCGAATTCGGTCGGAAATATTGAGTTATAATTATTTCGGTTTTTTGTCTTGCGCGGGAAACAAAAAATTCAGAAAGCAATTTGGAAATTTTTTAATAAATAATTATTTTTTACATTATATACAAGGTTGACCAAAAATTTGACCAGTTCCCGATCGAATTCGGTCGGAAATTTGGAAATATTTTAATAAATAATTATTTTTACATTATATACAAGTTTGAGCAAATATTTGACAAATTTTCCGATCGAAATCGGTCGGAAAGTTTATTTTTTTTTTGCTGTCAGTCACTTTTGTTGTCTTTTGCGACCAAATAATCTTATTTTCGACCGATTTCGGTCGGAAATTCTTGGACGGAAATCACCTGATTTCTAGTAGTGTTTCTTATATATCAATTTGGTTTATTAATTGCCCCAACTGGCTAATCTTTTGATGAGCTAACTATGGTTATATCCAAATTAACACCTTATAATTACCTTATAAGCGAGGTTGTATAGCATATCTATTTACATAATCTGTCAGTAAAACATAAACTCTATGTAGACAATGGTCATGTCTCTCCTCGGGGAACAAACTTTAACCACCAAAAAAGGAAATTGAACACCGATGATGAATATGTAACAAAATTGTATGAGCCAAACATTAACGGGGAAAAATAAATAAAAGAGAAACGATTTTTTGGGGGGCTATCTCTCCATCTATTTAGTTGCTGAATTAATTAAATAATTAATATCAATTAAAGGAAAATGGATGAAACAGAAAATATTTATGAAATTTAAAGAAAAGGAAAGAGAAACGAACTTTTTTCAAAGAAAGACCTTGTAGTATAAGAACTTTCTTAGCGACTATTCCTCCATTTATTTAGTAACTGAAATTATTCGCGATACATCTGCTGATGAATATACTGCCAACTTTAATTTGCGTTCTTTCTTCATACTATCATTACACCATCATCCTAATTGTTTCTTCCATTTTTTAATCACAAAATAAACCAATAATTCAATGGCATTGATCAAGATTCAATCTTTTTGTTTGCTCTTCACAATCTTGATTCTTTTCTCCCTTTTCCCTTCACCATCATCATCGTTATCTCACCATCATAGCCGCCGCCAAAAACAGCGCCGCCATAGCCAAAGTTCACAGCAGCTTCCCACTATTTTTCGTCCATCTTTTTTCACATCAACTGAAAGTGGCGGTGAATGGGTTACTTTACAAGAATCAATCGGCGTCTCCGCCATGCACATGCAACTTCTCTACAACAACAAAGTCGTCATCTTTGACAGAACCGACTTCGGCCCTTCTAATCTCTCCCTTCCCGACGGCAAATGCCGCTATAACGACGAGGCCCTTGACGTTGACTGCACTGCTCATTCTCTCCTTTACGACGTTTCATCAAACACTTTTCGTCCTCTTATGGTTCAAACTGACGTTTGGTGTTCATCCGGCGCCGTTAATTCTGACGGCACACTTATTCAAACCGGTGGATATCATGCCGGCGACCACAAAATACGTTTATTTTCACCGTGTGATGATGTTGACGACTGTGATTGGACTGAATTACCGCAGAATTTAACTGTCCAAAGATGGTATGCTTCTGATCATATATTACCAGATGGACGTGTGATTATTGTTGGTGGAAGAAGAGCTTTTAGCTACGAATTTTTTCCCAAGAATGTGAATAATAATGATGGTGTTTTTTATTTACAATTCTTGAAGGAAACTACTGACTTTAAAGAAGAAAACAATCTTTATCCATTCTTGTACATTTTACCCGACGGGAATCTTTATATGTTTGCAAACCAAAGGTCTGTAGTATTGGATTATGTGAATAATAGGATTGTGAAGGAGTTTCCGGTGATTCCCGGTGAAAAAAGGAGTTATCCGGCAACTGGGTCGTCGGTAATGCTGCCGTTACGTTTAAGTGCCGGCGACTCAGCTCAGAATCCGGTGGTGGAGGTGATGATTTGCGGCGGCGCGTCGGGTGGCGCTTATATTAAAGCGCAGAAGGGTGTGTTCGTGCGGGCTTCGAGCACGTGTGGGCGGATGAGGCTGACAGATCCAGATCCTAAATGGGTCATGGAGGCTATGCCTATGGGTCGGGTCATGCCCGATATGCTGTTGTTACCCACTGGAGATGTGATCATACTGAATGGGGCATCAAAAGGAACAGCCGGGTGGGAGAATGCATTTGACCCGGTACTGAACCCGGTTCTTTACAGCCCAAACGAACCCGACCCGAGTAAGAGATTCAGTGTTCTCAACCCTAGTACAATTCCAAGAATGTACCACTCATCAGTTACCTTATTGCCAGATGGCAGAATATTAGTAGGTGGAAGTAATCCACACGTAAGGTACAACTTCACAGGCGTAAGGTACCCTACAGAGTTGAGCTTAGAAGCATTTTCACCACCCTATTTAGCCCCACAAAACTCTCATCTACGCCCTTCAATCCTAGCCGTTGAGGGACAAATCAGTGGTTTCCTATCGTATGGTCAGCAATTCTCCATCACCTTCACGTTGGGGTTTTACCAGCCTGAGGAAGAGCTCATGGTAAGCATGATTGCACCCTCATTTACTACACACTCATTCGGGATGAATCAGAGGTTACTGGTTTTGGACATATTGGAAATTGAACAGCTCTCTATGTTTGCGTATAAAGTTACGGTGGTTGCACCTCCATCGCGTAATATTGCACCTCCTGGATATTATATGATTTTTGTTGTTCATCAAAATGTTCCTGGTCAATGTGTTTGGGTAAGGATACAGTGACCACTGTAGAAATGTGAATTTTGCTAGGTGCGGCTTATTTTTTGGTAGGCAGTTGGAATAAAATTTTTGGGATAGTTGAAAAAGAGAAAAAGTGATTGTGTGCAGTGGTAAGTTTTATTCAGTGGAATGGCTGAACGTTTCTGCTCTTATTCCTTGTATTATATTTTGGTCTTTTTATGTGAAAATTGGTACGGAAATGGGTGACCAGTAGAATTTTGGATAACGGAGAAATGTGGAGGATGAGGAATGCAAAAATGACAGTAAATTCGAGCAAGCAGCTTATATTGAGGTTACAAAAACAACATCTTTTGGCATCTAGCTCCTCTTCTTCTCAATGTATTTGCAGCTTCATTTCGTCCTCGAGCAAAGGAAACAAATAATATAGGTAAATACTTTTAAGCAAAATCATGAAAACTTTAGGCAGAAAATTCAACTAAGACCAACTCACAAATGTAACCACTTTTAACCATACTCATGTTCACCTATTAATAAGTTATTATCTAATTCCAAGTGTGTATTATGATGAGGGATGACCACAGTATATATCGTATTGAATAAGGAAGGACATAGATAGAAAACTCTCACTTTTAACAAAGAAGTACCTCATGTTATAAGAAATTATCATAAGCTTGACTATGATGTGATTCTTTACTAATGTCGGAGACTTCATGCGGGGATCATGTAAAACTTTACTAGGCTTTAATGTTTGCCATCGGATAACATTCAATGAAGAATATTCCCTGACGTTAAATATGCAGCCGTTGCAGAGAATATTTGCATTGATGCTTGCCGTTACATATTCACCAATACCCCTATATAGTCATTTAAGAGAGGCTTGATCCTATGATCTTGTTTCCCTAAGTATAACTATAAATAGTAGGCTCAACAACTATTGTAAGAGAGGGAATTCTTGGTAAAACTTATGTTATATTCCATTCTCAAGCTCAATAAAGTAACTTTATTTGCTCTTTTATACTATTCTTATTTCTGTCCCTGGAGGTACTCGGAATCAAGCTTGTCATTTCTCTCGATTTTAACTGCTAAGTCTTATTTTTAATCTTGTTTATTTATGATTTTTGGATCAAATCAGTTTACTTGTCTATAAACCACGTAACAAATTCAATTGCCATTTTACGGGTAAACAGTTTGGCACCCCCTTAGGGCTTAGATAATTGCATAATTGATTCAATCCTTGCATTTATTGCTAACTTGTTTGATTCTTTGTTCCTTAGCAAAAAAATCAAAAATGGCAGCTAACAATGTCAACATCGCACATAACGTTGAGGGACATGAAAATCTACCTCAACCTGAGGATTCAATCAGCGACACACGCAATAAGGGGGATGAGGCAACCCTGGTCCGTGGAAGACAGTACCCCCGACATATACAAAAACCAACTCCTGATGACGCAGAACGCGAACAAGTTACGAAAACAGTAAGGATCCTAAGAGAGCAACATAAAGCCATCATGGACCACCTCTCAAGGAAGGAATATGTCATGACGGAATTGAAGCAAGCGTTGTTAGGCGCTTGCACAATGCAAACGGAAGGGGTCCGTCTCCTCCCGACATTCCTGCAAAATCAAACTGCTAAAAGAGTTGATAATAATACTCCGAGAGGTGAGGTCAGCTTCGACATTGCTGGAGGGATCGAAAGCGGATCTGGTAACAATAATAGTAATGATCCCTTCAAAATCGAGCTCATGAGATTTATGAGGGAAATGAACGAACGGATGGATCAGAACACGAAAGAGTTTCACGCCCAAATAGATCAGATTTCGCACCACTAGTTTTGAAGGGCCCATATTTGAAACTATATACTTAGTTGTCGTTTAAACCGAGCGCAGTACCAGAGTTAATTTGTACGAGATTTATATCATGGCAATCAAAGTTGTAGAAATGTGTCGGGCTTTAAAAATTGAAGTGGAGTATATTACCGCTATTGAAGCTAGCAAAAAGATGATATGGTTGAAGCACTTCCTTCAAAAGTTTGACTTGCATTAAAAAGAGTATGTCGTCTATTCCGGCGACCAAAGTGTAATAGACTTGAACAAAAATATTATGTATTATGCAAGAAAGAAGCATATTAATGTGAGATATTATTGGATTCTTCAAATGTAGATGGCGGATCAATGCAGATCGATAAGATCGTTACAAGTGAGGATCCTTCAGATATACTAATCAAGGTAGTACAAGAGACAAATTTGAGTTATGTAAAAAACTTATTGGGATGTACTATGCCTAGAAGTCTGGTATAACCTCCTTCAGATGAATGAAGTCCTAGAGGGGGAGATTATGAGGTCCATCACATATAGGCATGTGCCAATGAAAACAAGACTTGGCTGAAAATCTATTTTTGGAGTCAAAGAAAAAATTTGATTGGAGGAGAATCATATATCCACCCGTAGTAATGTTGGAGCCACCTTTTGTTTCTCTTATAAATGGAGAGTCATTCTTCCATTTGAAAATACACCAAATACAGAGAGCTAAGCAATTAATCAGAGACAAAGTGTAATAGTCTATAAGGAAAAGAGATGTGAGCGATATTGTAGTAAGGTGAAAAAATCAAAAGTTAATTACTTATTTTGAGTGTGTTGTGGTCTTTGGAGTATTTTACCCAGACCTATAAAGTGTAAATTACTTTTTGCTATAGTGATATCAATTGCTCCTCTTGGGATTGTGGGTTTTTCCCTTATTCAAAAAGTTTTCTACGTAAAAATCTTGGTGGCCTAGTTATTATTCTTTTATTCTTGTTGACAATTGTATATCGGCGTTATATTATTATTTCGCTATTATTACCGTAAATAATTTTTTTGTGGGCATTCCCAACGCTTTCGGCATGGGCAAGTCTTGTATAGAGATTTTTTCTAATTTGAAATTTGTCAATCTTTATTCATTTTGATATTATTTTCAGTAATTGTTAGACTTACCTAGTCCCTAAGACTAGGTGCCATCACGATCTCCTACGTAGGGAGATTTGAGTCGTGACAGAACTAGAGGGGGAGATTATGGGGTTCATCCCGTATAGGCATGTGCCAATGAAAACAAGACTTGGCTGAAAATCTATTTTTGAAGTCAAAGAAAATATTTGATTGGAGGAGAATCATATATCCTCCCGTAGAACTTGGAGCCACCTTTTGTTTCTCTTATAAATGGAGAGTCATTCTTCCATTTGAAAATAAACCAAATACAGAGAGCTAAGCAATTAGTCGGAGACATAGTGTAATACTCCCTCCGTTTCAAATTAAACGAGGTACTTTCCTTTTTAGTTTGTTTCAAAATAAATGACACCTTTCTAAATTTAAAAATAATTCAACTATTTTACCCATCTTACCCTTAATGAGAAGTTTTTATAACCATACAAATGTCATAGCCCCATAAAGCTTTTATCCCTTGATCTTTTAAGACCACAAGTTTCAAAAGTCTTTTTCTTTATTAAACTCTGTGCCGAGTCAAACTACCTCATCTAAATTGAAACGGAAGAAGTAGTCTATAAGGAAAAGAGATGTGAGCGATATTATAGTAAGGTGAAAAAATCAAAAGAGAATTACTTATTTTGAGTGTATAGTGGTCTTTGGAGTATTTTACCCACACCTATAAAGTGTAATTTTTTTTGTTACAGTGATATTAGTTGAACCTCTTGGGCTTGATATTGGGGTTTTCCCTTATTCAAAGGGTTCTCTACATAAAAATCTTGGTGGCCTTGTTATTATTCTTTTATTCTTGTTGATTATCGTATATCAACATTACATTATTATTTTGCTATTATTACCGCAAAATAATTTTTTTGTAGGCTATTTATTCCCAATGCTTTTGGCATGGGCAAATGTNTTGGAAAAACTCCACCCGCGCATCTTACCCCTGGGGGCGGGGCGCGCAAAAAGGAGGTGTGACACACCCTATTAAGTATTATTTTTATGCACCCTACCAAACGGCCCCTAAATGTACGTAGGGATGGGACTCCCAGTGAAGTTTTGGGCAATGCACTGCTGTGCAATGTAAAGGGCAACGTCCAAATGAAGAAGCAATAACGAGGAACATGGCGCAGAGCAGGACAATCTTTAAAATTGATACTCCCTCTGCTCCAGTTTATGTGAACCTATTTTCTTTTTGGTCTGTTCCAAAAAGAATGACCCCTTTCTAAATTTGGTAACAATTTAGCTTAAAGTTACAATTCTACCCTTAATGAGAAGCTTTTATAGCCACACAAATACTCTGACCCCTTTTTGACTTATTTAGGACCACAAATTTTATAAATTTTTATTTTTTCTTAAACTATGTGCTAGGTTCACATAAATTAGAACGGAGGGAGTATATTCTATCATTTTGATAACTTCAAGATGTTATTTAGAGATGTGACATAATAAAAAGATGTGAGTAGAAATTGTAAAGTGGCTTGAGACTCGATCAATTGATCAAAACTGGAACTGCACTTTCTCTCATTTCTGGCCTAGTCCTGTTGCATGGACAATGCCCAGCAATTCATCAGACATATTCACAGAGACTAAGGCTACAATAATTGGTATAGTTTCATCTATACAACTCAACTGTCAATTTTACTTACTACAACTTACTGATCTGTACTTGTACTTTGTAGCCCAATACAGATAGTGTATGAAATTCAATGCACTGAGTATGCACATTAGCCAGTAAAATCTCTCCAAATGGAAGTGATTCAAGTTGCGACCAGAAAGCCATGGGTGGTGCTTTGAATTGCCCGTGACACTATTGACAATTGATACTATCACGCTACTAAGATAGTATCCTATGGCTAAAGAAGCCCAAGAGAGTGATGTTGCCAATGATCTCATACTAAATGGTGCTTCTGAGAAACAAAATTCAAGTAGTCCGGCTAGAGTGAAAAGATCCGCTGATCCAAGAAACAAGTACTGAAACGCGATCCAAAAGAACGTAATAGGCAATGGCTTGGCAGAGTCAAGTAGTCCCGAGTCAGTAGCTACTCGTTTGCGCTTGATTTCAACAAGAGCTGCTATTGCCATT